TTAAACACTCTGCAACATTCTTAAACACTCTGCAACATTCTTAAACACTCTGCAACAGTCTTAAATACTCTGCAACATTCTTAAATACTCTGCAACATTCTGAGACACTCTGCAACATTCTTAAACACTGCAACATTCTGAGACACTCTGCAACATTCTGAGACACTCTGCAACATTCTGAGACACTCTGCAACATTCTGAGACAGTCTGCAACATTCTTCAACACTCTGCAACATTCTTAAACACTCTGCAACATTCTTAAACACTCTGCAAACATTCTTAAACACTCTGCAACATTCTGAGACACTCTGCAACATTCTGAGACACTCTGCAACATTCTGAGACACTCTGCAACATTCTGAGACACTCTGCAACATTCTGAGACACTCTGCAACATTCTGAGACACTCTGCAACATTCTGAGACACTCTGCAACATTCTGAGACACTCTGCAACATTCTGAGACACTCTGCAACATTCTGAGACAGTCTGCAACATTCTGAGACAGTCTGCAACATTCTTCAACACTCTGCAACATTCTTAAACACTCTGCAACATTCTTAAACACTCTGCAACATTCTTAAACACTCTGCAACATTCTGAGACACTCTGCAACATTCTGAGACACTCTGCAACATTCTGAGACACTCTGCAACATTCTGAGACACTCTGCAACATTCAGAGACTCTCTACAACATTTTCAGTAACAAGCTGGAACAACTTATAATATTCTTAGACAACATCTTCAGACAACCTACAACATTCTGAAACAACCTACAACATTTTGAAAAAACCTTCAACATCGAGAGATCACATAAAACATTGTGAAATAACCCACAACATTCCAAAACTCTCTACAACATTTTCTGGGAACTTACAAGTTTTTAGACAACCTCCAATTATTTTCAGACCTCCTACAATATTTTGAGCCAACTTACAACATTCTCAGACAATCTACCACATTCTGAAACAACCTACGCTATCCAGGTACCACCTAAAACATTTTAGATAACCCACAACATTCCGAGACACTCTACAACATTTTCTGACAGCATACAACTTTTTTAGGCTACCTACAACATTCAAAGATAACCGACAACATTTTCACTAGCTCTACAACATTTTCCGACACTCTACAACATTTGCAGACACCATACAACCTCTTCAGGCACTCTACAACTTTTTCAGACACCATACAACCTTTTCAGACACTTTATAAAATGCTCAGCAACTCTAAACATTGTCAGCAACTCTAGAACATCGTCAGCAACTCTAGAATATCGACAGCAACTCTGGAATATCGTCAGCAACTCTAGAATATCGTCAGCAACTCTAGAATATCGTCAGCAACTCTAGAATATCGTCAGCAACTCTAGAATATCGTCAGGAACTCTAGAATATCGTCAGCAACTCTAAAACTCCTAGCAACTATAAAACATTCTCAGCAACTCTTAAACATTCTTAGGTACTCTAGAACATTGTCAGCAACTCTAAAACTCCCAGCAACTCTTTAACATTCTCATCAACTATAAAACATTCTCGGAAACTCTAAAACATTCTAAACAACTCTACAACATTCTAAGCAACTCTGGAATATTCTAAGCAACTCTGGAACATTCTCATCAACTGTAAAACATTCTCATAAACTATAAAACATTCTCGGAAACTAAAACGTTCTCAGCAACTCTTAAACATTCTCAGCAACTCTAGAACATTCTCAGCAACTCTAGAACATTCTCAGCAACTCTAGAACATTCTCAGCAACTCTAGAACATTCTCAGCAACTCTAGAACATTCTCAGCAACTCTAGAACATTCTCAGCAACTCTAGAACATTCTCAGCAACTCTAGAAAATTCTCAGCAACTCTAGAACATTCTCAGCAACTCTAGAACATTCTCAGCAACTCTAGAACATTCTCAGCAACTCTACAACATTATCAGCAACTCTACAACATTCTCAACAACTCTACAACATTCTCAGCAACTCTACAACATTCTCATCAACTATAAAACATTCTCGAAAACTATAAAACATTCTCGGAAATTTTTAAACATTCTCAGCAACTCTGAAACATTCTCGGCAACTCTGAAACAATCTCAGCAACTCTAAAACAATCTCAGCAACTCTAAAACAATCTCAGCAACTCTAAAGCATCCTCGAAAACACTGAAACATTGTCAGCAACTCTACAACATTCTGAGCAACTCTAAAACATTCTCAGCAACTCTGAAACATTCTCATCAACTATAAAACATTCTTGGAAACATTAAAACATTCTCGGAAACTTTAAAACATTCTCGGAAACTTTGAAACATTCTCAGCAACTCTGAAACATTCTCAAGAACTCTACAAAATTCTAAGCTACTCTACAACATTTTCAGCAACTATAAAACATTCTCAGTAACTCTGAAACATTCTCAGCAACTCTAAAACAATATCAGTAACCCTTAAACATTCTCAGCAACTCTACAACATTCTAAGCAACTCTGGAACATTCTCATCAACTGTAAAACATTCTCATAAACTATAAAATATTCTCGGAAACTAAGACATTCGCAGCTACTCTTAAACATTCTCAGCAACTCTACAACATTCTCAGCAACTCTACAACATTCTCAGCAACTCTACAACATTCTCAGCAACTCTACAACATTCTCAGTAACCCTTAAACATTCTCAGCAACTCTACAACATTCTCAGCAACTCTACAACATTCTCAGCAACTCTACAACATTCTCAGCAACTCTACAACATTCTCAGCAACTCTAGAACATTCTCAGCAACTCTAGAACATTCTCAGCAACTCTACAACATTCTCAGCAACTCTACAACATTCTCAGCAACTCTACAACATTCTCAGCAACTCTACAACATTCTCAGCAACTATACAACATTCTCAGCAACTCTACAACATTCTCAGCAACTCTACAACATTCTCAGCAACTCTAGAACATTCTCAGCAACTTTAGAACATTCTCAGCAACTCTAGAACATTCTCAGCAACTCTACAACATTCTCAGCAACTCTACAACATTCTCAGCAACTCTACAACATTCTCAGCAACTCTGAAACATTCTCATCAACTATAAAACATTCTTGGAAACATTAAAACATTCTCGAAAACTTTAAAACATTCTCGGAAACTTTGAAACATTCTCAGCAACTCTGAAAGATTCTCAAGAACTCTACAAAATTCTAAGCAACTCTACAACATTTTGAGCAACTATAAAACATTCTCAGCAACTATAAAACATTCTCAGCAACTCTACAAAATTCTAAGCAACTCTACAACATTTTCAGCAACTATAAAATATTCTCAGCAACTCTGAAACATTCTCAGCAACTCTACAACATTCTCAGCAACTCTACAACATTCTCATCAACTATAAAACATTCTCGAAAACTATAAAACATTCTCGGAAATTTTTAAACATTCTCAGCAACTCTGAAACATTCTCGGCAACTCTGAAACAATCTCAGCAACTCTAAAACAATCTCAGCAACTCTAAAACAATCTCAGCAACTCTAAAGCATCCTCGAAAACACTGAAACATTGTCAGCAACTCTACAACATTCTGAGCAACTCTAAAACATTCTCAGCAACTCTGAAACATTCTCATCAACTATAAAACATTCTTGGAAACATTAAAACATTCTCGAAAACTTTAAAACATTCTCGGAAACTTTGAAACATTCTCAGCAACTCTGAAACATTCTCAAGAACTCTACAAAATTCTAAGCTACTCTACAACATTTTCAGCAACTATAAAACATTCTTAGTAACTCTGAAACATTCTCAGCAACTCTAAAACAATATCAGTAACCCTTAAACATTCTCAGCAACTCTACAACATTCTAAGCAACTCTGGAACATTCTCATCAACTGTAAAACATTCTCATAAACTATAAAATATTCTCGGAAACTAAGACATTCGCAGCTACTCTTAAACATTCTCAGCAACTCTACAACATTCTCAGCAACTCTACAACATTCTCAGCAACTCTACAACATTCTCAGCAACTCTACAACATTCTCAGCAACTCTACAACATTCTCAGCAACTCTACAACATTCTCAGCAACTCTACAACATTCTCAGCAACTCTACAACATTCTCAGTAACCCTTAAACATTCTCAGCAACTCTACAACATTCTCAGCAACTCTACAACATTCTCAGCAACTCTACAACATTCTCAGCAACTCTACAACATTCTCAGCAACTCTAGAACATTCTCAGCAACTCTAGAACATTCTCAGCAACTCTACAACATTCTCAGCAACTCTACAACATTCTCAGCAACTATACAACATTCTCAGCAACTCTACAACATTCTCAGCAACTCTACAACATTCTCAGCAACTCTAGAACATTCTCAGCAACTTTAGAACATTCTCAGCAACTCTAGAACATTCTCAGCAACTCTACAACATTCTCAGCAACTCTACAACATTCTCAGCAACTCTACAACATTCTCAGCAACTCTACAACATTCTCAGCAACTCTACAACATTCTCAGCAACTCTACAACATTCTCAGCAACTCTAAAAGATTCTCATCAACTATAAAACATTCTCGAAAACTATAAAACATTCTCGGAAATTTTAAAATATTCTCAGCAACTCTGAAACATTCTCGGCAACTCTGAAACATTCTCAGCAACTCTAAAACAATCTCAGCAACTCTAAAACAATCTCAGCAACTCTAAAGCATCCTCGAAAACACTGAAACATTGTCAGCAACTCTACAACATTCTCAGCAACTCTAAAAGATTCTCAGCAACTCTAAAACAATCTCAGCAACTCTAAAGCATCCTCGAAAACACTGAAACATTGTCAGCAACTCCACAACATTCTCAGCAACTCTAAACCATTCTCGGAAACTGTAAAACATTCTAAGCAACTCTACAACATTCTCAGCAACTGTAAAACATTCTCGGAAACTCAATGCTATTCTCAGAAACTGTAAAACATTCTCGGAAACTGTAAAACATTCTCGGCAACTCTAAAACATTCTCAGCAACTCTACAACATTCTCAGCAACTCTGAAACATTCTCAAAAACTATAAAACATTCTCGGAAATTTTAAAACATTCTCAGCAACTCTGAAACATTCTCAGACACCCTTTAAGACAGTTTACAACATTTTCAGACAACTTATAAGATTTTTAGATAATTATAAAATTGTGTACAGCTTATATAACCAAATGTATTGCATGAAGTGCTTATAAATATAAATATTTATTTATACTATTATTTATACATATATTAAGGTGTAAGAAAATTACACACGAAGACAGGATGTACGACATAACCTTAAATCTTCAAACAATTATATATTTTATACAAACAGAAAACCTTAAAACTTTAACCAAACAACTACAAATTCTTATAAACACAAAATATCATATAAAACACTCAAATCCATCAATTTTCATAATAAAACTCTGTAATCAATCAAATGTTGCACAACAAACTTGTTAAAATATATTTAATAAAAACATTTCAAACTTTAAATAATATTTTAAAATCACCTCATGTTATTTACGATAATGTTTAGGATCACATTTCTGCTTATTTTATTGAAATATATATTTATTTTATATTTTTTACATAAAATTTACAGTTCGTGAACAACAGTTGGGTTGTCACTTGTCACTTGTCAAAAAAGATACAGAGGAGCCAACTTTGAAAAAATTATAACTTGTGTGGTTTAATGGTAGCCAACAAAAGTAACAAAAAAATGTTTTGAATTTTGAAAATAACTTCTTAACGATATAAATATAAATTATTAGATAATAATAAAAAAAAGTGCGTGTAAGGATCACACGCGATTGAAGTAAAACTTATTTGCTACTGTACAGAGTAGCAAATTTAAGTTAAGTAAAAATAAATACATCATATAACAATTTCGAATAATATTTATTAGTAATATGAACTCGTGATGCACACATTCATTAGTGTCAACCATTATACACATTTATATAATGATAAATTATAAATTATAAAATAAATGAGTTTGCTTCTGAGATTGATATCTTTGGTTTGTCGGTGCCAAATAAAAAAAATCAAGCCAGAAAAATTATCCTTAAAAGACTGTCTTAAGTGGTGATTTATAGTTATACTGAATGATGGCTAAGATGCTAGCCGAAACGTATGGATTTTAAATAAATAAACTTTTAAAAAAACTCTTATACTATTTTTATTGATGTTACGCCCGAATATTAAACTCAAATTAAACATATATATATATATATATATATATATATATATATATATATATATATATATATATATATATATGTTGATATTATATTCAGTTAAAGTCTAGTTACAGGGCATAACATCAATAAAAAACATGAATTTCTTTTAATAATTTATTTTACATCCATACGTTTCGGCTATGATCCTAGCCTTCATTGAGTGGAAACTAAAAATAAAATTAAAAACTAAAACAATTGAATCGGAGAAAAAAATTATAAAGAGTGAAAAGTACTTACAATTAGTTAATCATAAAGTTAAAATAGAAAATTGAATAATCCATGGTATCAGAATATGGTAATGCACTAAGCTATGTAATATAAACATTAAACTTGTAATTAAACAATATTTCACAAAATACTAACTTAAATAATCACAAATATATATAGTGTCTAATATATGTGTTGTAGATATATATATATATATATATATATATATATATATATATATATATTTATTTATACAGCACAATTGTACAATTATAGATATCAATGGTACATAACTTAAATTAATAGATAACATACTATATTAAATGAAATATAATTTACAAAAAACAAATGTTCACTTAAAATCTTATTCTAATTTTCACAGAATGATTTACTGAAAATTATAACTTAAATACTCATCAATAGAGTAAAAAACTTGTTCTTTAAAAAATGTGTTGAGTAGTTTATAAAATTTCCTATTTTCAACTTCTCTAATACCTAGTGACAGCTTATTGTAAAGCATTATGCCCAGACCATCTAAGGTATTAAATGTAGAGGCAAATTTCAATGTGGGACCTTTTACAAGTTTATGTCTTGTGTCATAATAAATACATTCGGGATTTGGGCTTAAATTAAATACATTATATATATATATATATATATATATATATATATATATTATACAAATATATATATATATATATATATATATATATATATTATACAAATATATATATTTTTGATAAGGTTTTTCAGCCACCAGTCAAAAACTAAAAGTCGAAATAAACAATATCAAGATATATATATATATATATATATATATATATATATATATACATATAAATATATACAAGTATATATAATTGAAGAAATTAAACTTTCATATATATATATTTTATTATCATACAATATTTTATACAAATTTATACACTATATTTTTTAATGACTAACAATATCATGATATATAATAATTGTATCTTAAAATATATAATTAAAATTATTTATATATATAGTAAAATCTCATTAAGATGATCATACTTAATACGAAATCTCATTCCCTGCATTTTGAAACTATCTGCTTAAAACACTTTCTCGCTTAAGACGCGTTTCTGTCCCTAAAAATTCGTCTTAACGAGGTTTTACTGAATATTCTAAATATCATCACAAATGCATATAATATATATTAATGATAAAAATTAAAATAAATTCGAGTACATTAAAGTAAACGAAGCATATAATTGCTGTTTTAACATATAAATATTTTAACAAGTGATATTATATTATTAACAAGATTGTTTTGTGATATGGATTGTGATTGCAAATTAATTAAAGTATTAAACAAATAATATAAATTGAGCATTTAAGTAAAATATCAGCCCACTGTGCTATTATTAGTAACGAAGCATATAATTGCTGTTTTAACATATAAATATTTTAACAAGTGATATTATATTATTAACAAGATTGTTTTGTGATATGGATTGTGATTGCAAATTAATTAAAGTAATAAACAAATAATATAAATTGAGCATTTAAGTAAAATATCAGCCCACTGTGCTATTATTAATAATAATATTGTAATTTATTATATATTTTATTCATATTAAACAAATAATTTAAATAAATAAAATATAACAAATAGTAACAGAATAATTTGCGATTAAAGTTGCAGCACTACAGATTTATTCCTTGTTTTCCAAGTATGTTTTAAAGTATACAGAGTTGCTCTAGAGCTCACATTGTTAGAGAAAGTCATTGATTGCTTATTTTCAAACCATTTTTTCTCTAACATCATTCATAAAAATCAAATGGTTTAAGATTTATCGATAATAAATGAAATAAATGTACTTTAAATTAAATAAAAATTATAAATGATGTATTTGATATATCATCAATTAAAGTATACCTTAGTAGTAACATTGTAGATTATTCAATTTTGTGAAAAAACATTTAACACATTATTCATGTCAATCAAATTGTTTAAAAGTTATACAAGATATACTGAACGATGCCATATGTCATGAGAACCGTAGCCAATTCCTTTTTTTCAATTTTTAATTGTCTTTTATGAGTACACCGAGTTGCTGTAAGTCATCATAATATTAGACAAACTTATAGGTCATTCAATTTTGAATAAATTTTACTAATACATCATTTATATTAATCAAATGGTTTAGAAGTTGCAAAATATATAATAAATAAATGTATAAACTAAAAACTACTGCAGTATAAATAGCACAGTGGACTAAGTGAATGTGTTTGTGAAACTACTTATTATATGTATATATAATAAGTAGTCTTATATATATTTATTTATTTATATATCTATTTCTATTACTGCATTACTCCAAACCTCTTCTGTCTCAAGCTCCCCAAAGCCTGCGACAGTTGATACCTCTTCGAAAAGAACTCAATCAAAGGTTGTGATGTCAAAACAGTCGCCAAAAACTGTTCAAATGAAATAGCCCACTCCGTCTCGTACATCGACAATGAATTACTGCTCTGTGATGTTCCCATATTTACATCACTAGTGTTAGAATCTGTACTGATCAACATATCGCTTCTATTAATACTTTCCTGGAGAGCATAATCATCGGTTTGAGTATTTGTTATTGTTGATTTGTGACTGGATAAATCCATTTCGCTTGGAGACTGGTCTTCGAATAGGAGTGATGTTGTTGTTGCTTTGTCCAGTGATGTATGGTCTTGGATGGGGGGTTCAAGTACTGGATTTCCATTCTTGTCGGGGGTCTGAGGAAAAAAAAGGTATTGGATTTAGGAAATAAGTGTAAGTCACTTTATAACTTAAGGCAAGATTCGTGGGTGTAAATAATTACGTTAATCAATAAAAAAAAAAGAGTGCGCGTAAGGTTCACACGCGATTGAAGTAAAACTTATTTGCTATTGTACAAAGTAGCAAATTTAAGTTAAGTAAAAATAAATACATCATATAACAATTTGGAATAATGTTTATTAGTAATATGGTAACACTCGTGATGCATAACTATTATTAGTGTCAACCATTATACATATATATATATATATATATATATATATATATATATATATTTTGTATGATTCTGAATTTGATGTTGACATATGTATTAACAAAGTCTAATAATCGGGCATAACATCAATAAAAAACATGAATTTCTTTCAAAAATTTATTTTAAATCCATACGTTTCGGCTATAATCCTAGCCTTCATTCAGTGGAAAAATTAGTTGATCTTAGTGTTAATTTGGAAAACTTTAGTAATCCATGGTATTAGGATATGGTAATGCACTACACTATGTATTATAAACATTAACTTGAAATTACACAATATTTTCACAAAATACTGATTTGAAAAAATCACAAATGGATAGTGTGTTATTCGTAGACTGGTTGAAGATGTATATATATATATATATATATATATATATTAATTATGATAAATTATAAATCATATATTTATAATAGCATTAAAAATATGCATAATATTTAAAAACAATAATGTAATTAAAGTCATACTTCAAAAATGACATGATCGGTTTGTCATTGTAATTAGCATTTAGAAATGAGAAATGAAGTAATTGCTGCTTAATAAATTTTATGATATTCGTTCACACAGTGGATTATGTTAAACAACGCCTAAACAAATATTGTTTTCACAACTTCACTCATCATGTAATAATTGTGTTTAAAGAACTTTATGCAATTAAAATTAACATACATTCATTGACTGATGGTATTTTTTTTACTTTTTCCCTGGCGATATAATCTCATTCTTTGAACAGCTGTAATATCTGTTTTGCCTAAAAATATTTTCCATTTCAATAACTTCAAAGATTTATGGAAACTACGAATAATACAGAAATAATTTCTAATCAATAAACTTACGTTTAGTACACGGCACAAATGTTTAATTTGTTTCATTATTTTCAAGGAACAGGATAAAATATTCTTCTGATTCAGGCATTTTTTCATTAAATCAAGATAAGTACTACGATGTAACATTAAAATGTTTATTTATCTATGTTGATTTCCTCGTTGATATCGGTACGCATACAACGTTGATGCCGGTACGCATACAACAACAGATCTCTATACACATACGCGATGACTAATCACAATCGACCCGTATAGAAATGATATCATCGAGAGCGAATGACGAATTATTGGCACTCGACTCTTATCTTATCGACTCTTATCTGCCGTAACGCACTTCCGTTGCATTTGTACAGACCCTAGTCGCGCCTAAAGAAGTTTTACTTCAAAAATTAAATTATACATATTTATATATATATATATATATATATATATATATATATACGATTATATATATATATATATCCAAATATTAGTTACAGTTGTAATTGTAATAATCTTTAATGAATTTTTATAATTAAACTACTTTTTGTAGGCTTATAATATTGTTGAATGTTCGTAAAGACCACAAACTCTATCAAAATCAACAATTCGCTAAATTACGAAGAAACGATCCGGCTGATCTTTAACAAAACTTAATCAACACGATTTCCAGTTGACATCTTTAAAATAGTTTTTTTGGATAAATTTACAAAATCGGTTCAGGACATTGGCCGAAAGTTTTATACAACTGTTAATTATAAAAAAATGTGTACAAAGGAGACACGGCGCCCAGAACTGGGTGGCAAACGATTCAAAATGACCGAAAAATATAAAGAAAATTTTGTTGATTTAACAAAAATTAAAGTTCGAGTAAAATATCTTATATAAAACGTATGATGATGATGGTAAAAAGTTAGTTTTAGTACAAATTTTACAAATACCATATTTCTTGTTATTTTAATATCATTTTTTTGTTAAAAAAAAGGTAATATTATAATTATACCAGTTAATTCAAAATTGTATAAACTTCTTTATGGTATAAAAGGTTTGAAAAAAAAATTGATGATATTTTAAAGAAAAACAGAAAAAATGTGTTCTGCATGTTTATTGAAATCTGCTGATTATGTAGAAACGGCTCGACCGATCGTCTCGCAAAACAAATCAACGCAAGTCCTTATCCTGTATTATCGAATGCCTTCCAAATATTTGAAATCGGTCCAGTCGTTTTTAAGAAAACGACTACAAAATGTAAACAAACATACTTGTCTCAATTTCGGTGTCAAAAGATTCAGAACGATTAGAAACATAAAATTAGAGAACAGCTTTTCTGGCAAAAACTTAAACTTTTTCTTCAAATTATAAAAATATTAAGTAAAATAAATAATGAAACATTCTTTAGCTATAATTATAGAAAAAACGTTATCCATAAATACACTTACAATTATGAGTTGATAAACACAAGTAGCTAATAAATTAACTAAAAAACTAATTAATTAGTTATAAGAAATTAATTAGCTACAAATAAATTTAATTAGTACCAATAAAACGTTATTGTTATAAATAAATTTAATAAATAACAATACTCACTTGATCACATAACAAATCATCTTTATTTGATTCTGCAGGTTTAGGAACTGCTTCGAGGCTTTCTTTTTCCATGAAAAATATTTTACTGACACCACCCAGCTTTAGTAATAAAGTACCTAAAATAAAATAACTTATCATAAACTGATTGCATATATATATATATATATATATATATATATATAATAATATATAAACACTAGCTGTCCCAGCAAACGTTGTTTAAATTAAATAATCTTCATGTAAAACACTTATTATTAAATTTAATTGAACATAATCTGTCAAAACCATTTGACATTTGACGTATGAGCCGCAGTCAAATGTTTCATTTTAAATTACGCTTCCACACAAAATTTTAAATTAAAAATGTAAAGTTTATACGCGGTTTTGAAATCTCTGGATTAGCACAAATATTTTAAGACTAAGAGTGGTTAAATCCGTTCAGCCGGTTTAGAGTTTTAGCATACCTAACATTTTATCAAGCTCCATTTTTATATATAAGATATATAACATTGTGATAATAGAGTGATGTATGTATTTTTTTATTCTGAATTATAAACAAGTAAAATAAAATAACGAATCATTGGCACTCGGCCGTAACGCTTTTTCCGTTGCATTTGCATTTGCACAGATTTACTCCCTTGTCGTGTCTAAAGAAGTTTTACTTCAAAAAAATATCAAAAATATTAAAAACAAAAAAGTTAGAGTGGACCCACAATCCTTATTACCAAGAAAAATATTAACCAATATAATTATACAGGGTCCGCCAAATAACTTATGTTTTTTTTAAAATGCTATAAAAAAAATTACTGAATATTTGCACAAATTTCTTTTTTTATTTTAAAGTGCAAGACTTCCAATTAATAATAAATAATTATATTTAAATAATTAAAAATAATAAAATAAATATCTTTAAATGACTGCCTCAACTGTCCATGCAGTAGCCTACATGATTGCAAATTTTTAAAAATAGTTAGATGATGGACCCTTGTAACAATTTAATACAAATCGGTTAAGCCGTTTCGAACAAATGATATATGTAAATATCTATATATTATAAATCTATTATATTTACCAACTGTTGCCAAAGCATCATGTATCTCTGCAACCTCTGTCTCATTTTCCAGCATATCATATAAAGTGTTCCACATATCAACGAAACAAGGTTGAGACATCTTCTTTGCCCAACGATTGTTCTCGGGAGCCCTATGTGAATCTGTTAACAATCCTGTTCGTAACTCGTTTAATTGGATTTGTTGTTGGCTGTCCATCACATCTAAAAAGGAAAATATATATTTAGTTTAAGTTAAATGTGATAAACTTGAAAAAATAGAACAAATAGAAAATGGTGTGCAAAATGAATTGCACAGAATGTCCCGTATTGTAAAAAAGGTTTTTTCGTTTGTAGAAAATAATTATAAATAATTTTTGAAGTAAAACTTCTTTAGCGCGACTAGGCTGTAAATTCGTATAAATGAAACGGAAATGCGTTACGGCAGAACAGTACGTCATTCGCTTTCGATGAGATCATTTCTATACTGTTCGATTGTGATTAGTGGTCGTGTCGTGTGAATAGAGATCTGTAGTTGTATGCGTACCGGCTTCAACGTTGTATGCGTACCGACATCAACAAGGAAATCGGCATAGATAGATAAACATTTTAAAGTTACATAGTACAAATCTTGATTTAATGAAAAATGACTGAATCAGAAGAATATTTTATTCTGTTCCTTGAAAGTAATAATACAAATTAACCATTTGTGCCGTGTACTAGACGTAAGTTTATTGATTAGAAATTATTTTTATATTATTTGTAGTTTTCTATAAATCTTTAAAGTTATTGAAATAGAAAATATTTTTTTTAGGCAAGACAGATATTACAGCTGTTCAAAGAATGAGATTATATCGCCAGCGAAAAAGTAAAAAAAAAATACAAGCAGTCAATGAATGTATGTTAATTTTAATTACATGAAGTTCTTCAAACACAATTACATGATGAGTGAAATTGCGAAAACAATATTTATTTAGACTTTTTTTAACATAATCTACTGTGTGAACAAATATTATAGGATTTAATCAGCAATTACTTTGTTTCTCCAATAAAAGTTAATTTTTAAATGCTAATTACAATGACAAACCGATCATGTCATATTTAAAGTATGACTTTAATTACATTATTGTTTTTAAATATTATACATATTTTTAATGCTATTATAAATATATAATTTATAATTTATCATTATATAAATGTGTATAATGGTTGACACTAATAAATGTGTGCATCATGAGTGTTACCATATTACTAATAAACATTATTCAAAATTGTTATATGATGTATTTATTTTTAATATAAATGTCATCTCGTACAATATCAAAATAATTTTACGTAAATCGCGTGTAAACGATGGCTTCTAATTGAAAAAAATATATATAATAAAATATATAGGTTGTACCTGAATTACTGCTTAAACTAACTGATCGTGAATAAAAATCAGCAGTAGCTCTGCTAAATTCTTCACTTGGTGTTGAATCTCCTGCTGCACTTGTCACCGAAGCCCTAGAACAAACCAAAAATCAATAAATGAAGCTCAAATTATTAGTTATATAATGCATTGCCTTAAATTTATGGGCCTATTCTTAGATAACATATTACTAGGCCTCCAATGGTAAAAAAAATATGCCTCAAATAAGAGTACAATAAAAATTTAGAAATCTGGATGCACCTATAATATTTTAATAATTCATGTTTTCTTAATTTTGGTGTTATCAATGTGCTGGAAGTTTTCAAACTATCAAAAAACTATATCAAAGGTGTTTCTTTCAATTTAATTCTGTAAAACTATTGAAAAGTTAATTCCCGTTAGAATTATCGTCCAGGACTTTCCTTTTAAGGATAATGACGATAATTTCCTTGCAATTTCAAAAAAACAACATAAACATAAACGCTTTTATGGCGGTTAATGGAAGTTAACGAAAGATTTCGATCTAGATTCTAATTAGAAAATAGATGTCGACAAATTTACTAAGGACTAACTGATAAAAATATTATGTTTTATATGAACTTATTCATAAATCCTCCCAAAACCTTAATTATGGTATTTAATTACCTCCAAATAGCACAAATATCAAGATAACATTAGTTCTACTTCATGCAGTGTTAAAAATGAGTGCAATGCAAAAGTACCTATTATTTTCAGACGTTTTATATTATCTCTATTTGCCAATTAAACTAAAACATGCCACCAGGAATTGCTATTATCCTTCTTACTACATTTTGTTTGTACAATTCCTGGTGTAAGATGCATATCCAAAAACAGACCCATTAAAACAATTAAAATAATAAGTCTATTTCCTCCTCTTACCCATCAAAAAAGCTGACAGCTTCGGCAGCTTCTTCAACACTATCCCCTTCCTCTCGTTCCTCACTCTCTTCACCCTCGACGTGATCCCGTGTCCTCAAACTTGCAATGACATCTTGAGGAGTCACCAGGGGCGGCTGGTGTAACAGGAATAATAAACGTAGACGTCTTGTTGATTCCGAACAACAACTCATGCCCAAAGCTGTCACCAGTTCGCGAAGATCGAGGTAACCGTCTGAGTTGGAGTCCATCAACTGGTAAAAGATAGAATATTAGATGAAGGATGGTAAAATTAGAAGAGGTAACCGTCTGAGTTGGAGTCCATCAACTGGTAAAAGATGGTAAAAGATAGAATAATAGATGGAGGATGGTAAAATTAGTAGAGGTAACCGTCTGAGTTGGAGTCCATCAACTGGTAAAAGATAGAATAATAGATGAAGGATGGTAAAATTAGTAGAGATAACCGTCTGAGTTGGAGTCCGTCAACTGGTAAAAGATGGTAAAAGATAGAATAATAGATGGAGGATGGTAAAATTAGTGGAGGTAACCGTCTGAGTTGGAATCCATCAACTGGTAAAAGATAGAATAATAGATGGAGGATGGTAAAATTAGTGGAGGTAACCGTCTGAGTTGGAGTCCATCAACTGATAAAAGATGGTAAAAGATAGAATAAGAGATGGAAGATGGTAAAATTAGTAGAGGTAACCGTCTGAGTTGGAGTCCATCAACTGGTAAAAGATAGAATAATAGATGAAGAATGGTAAAATTAGTGGAGGTAACCGTCTGAGTTGGAGTCCATCAACTGGTAAAAGATAGAATAACAGATGGAGGATGGTAAAATTAGTGGAGGTAACCATCTGAGTTGGAGACCATACACTGGTGAAAGATGGTAAAAGATAGAATATTAGATGGAGGATGGTAAAATTAGTAGAGGTAACCGTCTGAGTTGAAGTCCATCAACTGGTAAAAGATAGAATAATAGATGGAAGATGGTAAAATTAGTAGAGGTAACCGTCTGAGTTGGAGTCCATCAACTGGTAAAAGATAGAATAATAGATGGAGAATGGTAAAATTAGTAGAGGTAACCGTCTGAGTTGAAGTCCATCAACTGGTAAAAGATAGAATAATAGATGGAGGATGGTAAAATTAGTAACTAGTTGCACAAAATTAATCGAGTTTTATCGAATGGATTTTGATTTCCAAAATCGGTGCAGATGTTTTTGAGAAAACGTTGGGAAAAAAAAAACTCTAACCCGCACGCACTTTTACCAATGTCCGTGAACAATTTAAAATGACTTGAAACATAAAATTAACAAACTGGATTTTCTTCCTCCTGTGTCCCTCCCTTTACATACCTTAAACAGCCTCCTAGCAATCCTGTGACCCTTCTTCCCTCTGCCCCAAGGTGATAGAATCTCAAAAATCTCCCTGAACAATTCAAAATCAGTCCGATAAGCCTCGTGCGCAGGTCTGGACGTATCAAAGTCACTGCTCATTGAGCAGGGTCTTGCAGAACCTGACGACCTCAAGTATTCCTCACGAATCATGTTGATTAGGTCCTGCAATTCCTCAGTTGTAAAGTAACCGTCTCCTTTCACATTCCTGATGGCATTCTTTTCCAAACCGTCTTCAAATTGCTGGACAACCTTGAGACGGTACTGGAGGCGTAGACGTTCTATGCAGGCTGTGGTAAGGATTCCGTAACGGGAATATGATTCGTAAATCAGGGACTGGACTGATATACTCTAAAATATTAATATCTTTCAATACTTTCTTAAAAATTTTATATAATGAGTTCTAACCTTTTTCTTGTTTTGTCCAGAACTCCTCATAACAGCTCTGCCATCAGCATTATAAACGCCTTCTAAATAATCACTCAGCAACTGCATAGCCTCACCATCGTCTCGACATTTTGATAAAGCCTCTTGGTTCAACTCCAGTATCGTTAAAGCAACCTATGAATAATCACATTATATAAACAATACTAAAATTTGTTGAAGTTAAACTTCTAATGCAAATTCTAACGAGGTAGTGTTAAACATTTAGTCCCACCTGACGAGTGTAAATAGAAAGACACATAGCGAGAGTATGTATAAAAAGTAGAAAGAGTAAAATAGTATAAAAAAATGCTAAAGATGCTATAGTGTGTCTAAGAGTGTTGTGGATTCTCTGAAAATACTGTAGATTGTCTGAAAATTATGTAGATTGTCTGAGAACGCTTTAAATTGTTGGAAAATGCTCTAGATTATCTGAAAATGCTATAGATTGCTTGAAAATACTGTATATTGCCTTAAAATGTTGTAGATTGTCTGAGAATGTTTTAAATTGTTTTGGAAAAAGCTCTAGACTGTTGGAAAATATTCTAGACTATTGGAGAATGATCTAGATTGTCTGAAAATACTATGGGTTGCTTGAAAATACTGCAGATTGTCTGAAAATGTTGTAGATTGTCTGAAAATGTTTTACATTGTTTTGGAAAATGCTCTAAGACTGTTGGAAAAGGTTCTAGACTGTTGGAGAATGATCTAGATTGTCTGAAAATGTTATGGAATGCTTGAAGATACTGCAGATTGTCTGAAAATGCTTTAAATTGTTGGAAAATGCTCCAGGCTTTTGGAAAAAAATGCTCTAGATCGTCTGAAAATGCTATAGATTGCTTGAAAATACTGTAGATTGTTGGAAGATGCTCTAGATTGTCTGAAAAATGCTTTAAATTGTTGAAAGATGCTCTAGATTGTTGGAAAATGCTTTAAACTGTTGGAAAATGCTCTAAACTGTTGGAAAATGCTATAGAGTATAGATTGTCTAAAAATGCTATGGATTATTTGAAAATGCTCTAGATCGTCTGAAAATGCTATGGATTGCTTGAAAATACTGTAGATTGACTGAAAATGTTTTAGATTGTCTAAAAATGCTTTAAATTATTGGAAAATGCTGTAGGCTATTGAAAAATGCTCTTAACTGTTAGAAAATGCTCTAGATTGTTAGAAAATGCTCTAAGCTGTTGGAAAATGCTCTAGATTGCTTGAAAATGCTATAGATTGTATGAAAATGGTGTAGATTGTCTGAAAATGCTTTAAATTCTTGGAAAATGCTGTAGACTGTTGGAAAATACTCTAGATTGCTTGAAAATACTATAGACTGCATGAAAAGTCTATAGATTGCTTGAAAAAAGTGTAGATTGTCTGAAAATGCTGTAGATTGTCTGGAAATTCTTTAAATTGTCTGAAAATGCTTTAAATTGTTGGAAAATTCTCTAGACTGTTGGAAAATGCTCTAGATTGCTTCAAAATGCTACAGATTGTCTGAAAATGAAGTAGATTGTCTGAAAATGCTTTAAATTGTTGGAAAATGCTCTAGATTGCTTCAAAATGCTACAGATTGTCTGAAATTGAAGTAGATTGTCTGAAAATGCTTTAAATTGTTGGAAAATGCTTCTAGAACGTCTGAAAATGCTATGGATTGTTAGAAAATACTCTAAATTGCATGAAAAGTCTATAGATTGCTTGAAAATACTGTAGATTGTCTGGAAATTCTTTAAATTGTCTAAAAATGCTCTAGACTGTCTAAAAATGCTATGGATCGTCTGAAAATGCTTTAAATTGTTGGAAAGTTCTCTAGATTGTTGGAAAATGCTCTAGATGGTTGGAAAATGCTTTAGATTGCCTAAAAATGCCAATGATTGCTTGAAAATACTGTAGATCGTCTAAAAATGATGTACATTGTCTGAAAATGCTTTAAATTGATGGAAAATGTCCAAGATTGTTGGAAAATGCTCTAGACTGTTGGAAAATTCTATATATTGTAGAAAATTGTGGTAGGCTGTCCGGGAAAAGACTTAGATTATACTAAAATCTTGAAGTTTATGTAAAAATGATGTAGATTGTCTAAAAAAGTGAATAAAATTGGAACTACTATCAATGTGGTAAAGTGCGAGTTGTTAAAAAAGCAATGCTACTAAACTACTTCTTAAAGAAATAATACAAGTTCTCAAAATCAATTATTAATTACAAAACTACATAAACTACTCTTATTATTAATGCATCTACCTGGAATATAACTTTGGATCCATCAAAGAAAAAACAGTCCATAATATTGACAGCACTTTCGTAGGGCATCACACTTAAAAATATTGTTAAAAACCAGGATAATGAGATCATCCTTATCATACCAAGTTGATCCAGTCGAGCATGCAATGCTGGTAAATGGTGACATGTTAAGTGCTCTAGTACACCCTGATCAACCTAAAAGAATAATAGATGTAGACATATAAATATATATAAATATAAATAAATAAATAAATATATATATATATATATATATATATAAAGTTTTATTATTTATGCTTACCAGTGCTCCAACAACTCGTGTATTATAATAATCAGGTAACAATGTCTCACAGACAGTGGCCAGATGCCAAAATGCTTCTTCTTCGGAACAATGTAAAAGTAAAGCTGAACAAACAATGTTCATTGCTTGACAATAACCTACTCGTGGATTCCTTAAAGCATAGGATCGTAAGACTCTTCTGAGGGCTGATATACCTATAATTAGACATAGAATTTAATATATAAATATTTCTTTTCTATTTGGTGTTGGATTATATGTTAATACACCTATAAAGTGGCATAAAATTTATAATACAAGTATTTATTTCTTTTTATTGTTTGTGTTCGCGCCATATCAAAGGGTACGATATATTCGATAAAAAAAAAAAAATCATCAATCAATAATCAAACCAAAATCAAATCAATCAATAGGTAATCATAAACATATTAAAATTATTGTAAATACTATTATAACTTATAAAATAAATATATACAGTTATCAATAAAGTATTTTAGAATTTGTCCTTCAAAAAGTAAAGTAAAATTCAATCAAAACAACATCCACAAAAAACAGTTTGATTAAAGATTTGATTTATTTATAAAAGTTTGATTAAATTTTTTTCAGTGTCACTTGTGCCACCATGTTGAGTGTATAAAATTAAAAAACATATATGATGTATTTCTATGCATTGTTTTTTGAGTATTCAAGTATTTTACAAACTTAAATTTAATTATTGAGCTGAGCTCAATCAAAATTTTGAAATTACCTACTTAATATAAGTATTACTTAAAATTAACTAATATATGTATATATATATATATATAATATATAATATATTATTATTATTATTATTATTATTATTATTATTATTCTTTTACCTATGTCACTTTGAAAAGCAGGATGTTCAGGCAAAGATCTCCTCAGATCTCTTTCAATTTCCTCAGCAGCTGTTGGAGTTAATCCTGGTGCTGAATTGGTATTGTTTCCAAAAGAACCATTGACCATGGCTCGAGATGCCAGAGCCTGATAATGACCTGCAGGATGTGAGAGCATCTCGTGAGCTGCTCCTGAGAATGCTAACCAGGCCGAGCGACGGATCTTGTCGGGAATCCCTTTTAAAATAGAAAGAAATGAAAATTGAGAGAAATGGAAAACTCTTTATACTACTTTTGTTGTTTTACCAATATTTGATTCAATTGTTTTTT